CCATGGCCCGCTGCTCCTGTTCCAGCCTGCAGGCGGGGCCCCGGCTGTTTGTCATCGGGGGCGTGGCGCAGGGTCCCAGCCAGGCCGTGGAGGCTCTGTGTCTGCGTGATGGGGTCTGAATCCTGCAGGGACCTTGTCCCCTGGAGCAGCTCAGGGCCAGGCAGCTGCTCTGTGGGATGGAGGCGCAGGCGCTGTGACACAGCCGCGGGGACCCCGGCGGGAGGCGCCATCCATAGCGTAGGGTACCCATACGCTTCCACCACCTCACCCCCCTTCACTCATGGGCCAGGCCTCCCCCACCCTTGCTCTGTCCGATTGGGAAGTGGGGAAGGGGAGACAGGCCCAGTGCCTGCCTGGAGTCGACCAGGCCTCCCGTGACTATTCCTGAGAAGTCCTGGCTGCCAGCCTGCCTTGGAGGCCCCTGGGGACCCAGGAGTGTTGGGGAGGGTGGGGGACACAGAGGGAATGGAAGAGTAACTGCAGGAACCTCCGAAGGGTCAAAAACGTTAGCTTTGGGCCCTTCACACTGTTGGCTGTGTGGCCTCGGGCCGGTCATTTCACCTCTCTGTGCCTCAGCATCCTCACCTAAACGGGGATCTCCGAAACCTTCCTGCCCTACCTACCTCACAGGGCTGTTGTGAGGACCCAGGGAGTTCAGATACGGAAGTAAAGATGCTGCTAAAAGCTGGTGCGTGGCCCTGGTGTGGACTCCTGTCCCCCGCAGCCCTGTCCTCCTGTGGGGCTTCCGTTGTCCCAAGGATAAGGGTCCAGAAGAGCCTTTTCGATCGGCCGCTGCCCCCAAAGTGTCTGCTGTCTCAGCCCCTCCTCAGCCTTAGATTCTCCGTGGGGACCCAGGGCAGCCGCTGTCCCGCTGTCCTGGATGGTGGGGGTCCTCACAGGACGAGCAGAGAAGAGCTCAGAAAACGACCACACACCACGCGGGCAGGACGCTCTCCAGGCCTGGGCCTCAGCATCTCGGCCACGCCCTGCTCGCCGCCGGAGGTCTCGTGGGGTGTGGCGGACAGTCTCCCTCCGTCCCAGCTGCAGGGAAGCCGTCTGCTGGGCAGGACTGTGTGGCCACCACCAGACCCCTAGAGGCGAAGCTCCCGAGAAGCCAAGCTGCTGGCCCTCGCCTCCTCGTCCCGGCTTCGCTGCCCACTAGTTAGGGCCACTGGCTCTGGCTTTCTGCAGTCTCACTGAGTGTGAGGGGCTCACAGCTGGGTTTGCTGCAAGAATGGATTTGGGGTCCCAGAACCCATCTGCTGTGGCCATGGTAACCCTCCTGGACCCATAGCCTCCTGCTGGCTGTGCCCCTTCTCACTCAACGGCAGAGCTCCCAAGGCAACACCCCCCTGCCCAGCACAGAGGCACCAGGGGCACCAGTGCCATAGGAGCCAGCATAAGGCCTGGCAGTGTCTTACTGCGCTCCAGCTCTGCGCCCTCCTGGGCTACAAGCACAGGCCAGGGAGGCCTCGGTGCCAGCCATTCTTTTTTTGTTAATTCTCACCTGAGGATATTTTCCCATTGATTTTTAGAGAGAGTGGAAGGGAGAGAAAGAGACACAGAGAGGGAAACACCGATGTGAGATAGACACATCAATTGGTTGCCTCCCACATGCACCCCGACTGGGGCCAGGGATCAAGCCTGTAACTGAGGTACATGCCCTTGAGGTACGTGCTGTTGACTGGAATCGAACCCAAGACCCTTCAGTCTGCAGGCTGACGCTCTATCCACTGAGCCAACTGGCCAGGGCAATAGCCATCCTTGTTTAATGCTCTGGACCAGTTTAGACACTCGGAGACCCCCTCATGAAGGTAATGCTGCAGCGGTTTGGACCCGGGGATCTTTGGGAGGTTAGTCGGGGTACTGGGGCCGGAGGCCGGGGGGCCCCCACAGTCGCCGCCACAGTGGCCGCTCTGGGAGGGCTGGCAGAAGTTCTGCTGGTAGGTGGTACAGGTGCGGGGGTGATGGATCTGCACAAAGTGGACGAGGCGCTGAGGGGCGTCACTGGGTCCTGGGGATAAGCGGAAGGTGGACTGGTAGGAGGATTCCAGGGGCCGCTGCTGGTAGAGCTCCAGCTCGCTGGAGGCCCAGTGCAGGAAGGTGGGCCGGTGACACAGGCGCTCCATGTTTTTCCGTCTCCCGATGCCCTGCAGTAGGCAGTAGGGACCCTCCTCAGCGGTACGGGCCCTTGGCCCACAGTCCTGGCACCAGGTTTGGCCTTGGGTGCCCCCTAAAGCCAAGCCTGCCCGGTGATGCCTGGCTTGTGCCTGGCCTGAACCCCACCTCTGGGCCTGCCTCCATTCTGGAGTGAGGCCCCAGAACATCAGTGGCCCCTGGGAGGCTTGCACATATTCAGGCCGCTGGCAGGGGAGCCACAGCAGCTGTTTCCCTGCTCAGCGCCAGCTCTCACCTTCCGAGGAGCCCCTCCCGCACTGCCTCCCCCACCTCCCTGCCTGGCCCCCCCTCCTCTCCCGCACTCACCTTGTCGAAGGAAGTGCGGTTGTCGTGCTTGGAGAAGAAGTGCTGCCGCACTGGCTCCTGGAAAGAGAGGAAGAAGGTCATGGGGGAAACGGTGCTTCCCTGCCCCGAGGTCTTCCCTCAGGACCCACAATGGAGGGAAGGTGCCAGGAGCCACCGTCCTAACCTGCTAAACTGCTGCTACCCCAAAGGGCAGATACAAACGAAAGCAACACCTCACTCTGGGCCACCTCAGGACCTCCTGCCCTAGGGCGAGTGGTCAGGCTTTACAGGACCCCCCACCTCCACATCGCCCAGGAGTGGGCGTGGTTCTCTCCTCCCCTCTCTCCACACCTACTCCCCCATCAGCAGCCCAAGCTCCTGACCCTGAACACCACCTGGAAATGGACGTTTTTCTCTCTAGTTCAAGCTCCTTCCTGAATTCCAGACCCAGCAGCTAACCGGAGACATCGAATGCAGCGGTCGCCAACCGGTGCTCCGCGCTCCCCTGTGGTCCCTGAGGTCCGAAAGGCTGGCGACCGCTGGTCTAATGGGCATCTCAAAGCCATGGCTGAGCTCGGGGTCATTCCCAAGCCCACCCCGGCTACAGCCTCCCAGCTCAGGCCACAGCAGCTGGATCCAGCCAAACGCCCTTGATCCCTCCTCTCACCTTACCCCCAAGCGCCAGGAATCCTGCTGGTCCTTCAACATGCACCAGGCCGGGAGCGCCTCAGCATGGCCACCGCTTCCCCTGGCCCCGCCACCCTCTTCTCTGCCGGAATTATTGCAAGAGCTTCACCCCTGGGACCCCTGCTTCTGAGCTTGCTCCCCACCTGCTGTCCTCTTAGCAGGCAGAGTAGCTCTTTTAACGCGTGAGTCCGTTCACAGCCCTTGTTTGCCAAAGGTCCCTCATGTTTGTAAAAGCCAAGTCATCATAGTTCCATGAGATCCACAGGCATTGATCCTCCATCGCCTGCAGCCACCGGCATCCTCCCTGCTCCTCAGGCAACCAGCTGCTCCGCCTCCAGCCTTTGAGATTTTTCTGGCCATGACTCCTCCTCCCCTTCTTCTTGGGAAGTCTTCCTCGAGCACTGAGCACCACCCCAGCAGTCCCATCACCCCAACTCTGCATTTCTCACCTTCTCACATCTACATGACTATCTATTCTGGCTGCTTATTGTCTGTTCTCTCTGCCTTGCTCACATCTGTAACTCCGTCCCGAGAACAGTGCCTGGCCCAATGAAGGGCCTGGGCTGATGAGTTCAGTCTTGGCTGGGCTGGGGAATGAGCAATGGCTGATGGCAGGTTCCTAAGTAAAAGGCAGGGGTAGCTTCATCCCTGATCTCTGAACCAGATTGTTCAGGGCGGAGCCTGTGTATGTGCCTTTGACAAGCTCCTCCATGGGGACCTCCGCCTTAGACAGCGAGAACAGGTCTCCAACCAGAATAAAGGGCCAGGAGGGTGGGAAGCCAGCCAGCCTTACCTTTCAGTCCTCATAACAAGCTGACATCACAGGGATTAAAAACCCAGGGCTCTTTTAGAAAAGAAACAACAGCCGAAGCCGGTTTGGCTCAGTGGATAGAGCGTCAGCCTGGGGACTGAAGGGTCCCGGGTTCGATTCCGGTCAGGGGCATGTGCCTGGGTTGTGGGCACATCCCCAGTGGGAGATGTGCAGGAGGCAGCTAATCGAGGTTTCTCTCTCATCGATGTTTCTAACTCTCTATCTCTCTCCCTTCCTCTCTGTGGAAACTCAATAAAATATATTTGAAAAAAAAAAAGAAAAGAAACAACAGGAGAAAATCCTCAGAATCTAAAGCCAGACAAAGTTTGTAGACTTGATCCATAAAAAAAAGAAAGACCCATAAAAAACTGATAAATTGGGCCTCATCAGAATGAAAAACTTTTGCTTTGTGAATGTCCATGTGAAGAGGCTAAAAAGACAAGCTACAAACTTGGAGAAAATATTTGCAACCCACATACTCAATTAAGGACTAATACCTAGAACCATAGAGCCCTCTCACAGCTCCACAGTAAAATAACAAACTATCCAGTTAGAACCCTGGCTAATGACAATGACATCTCCCCAAAGAGGATATGCAGATGGCAAGGACACATGAAAAGAAGCTCACCATCATTAAACATTCGAGAAATGAAGATTAACCGCCATGTGATGTCACAGCACACCCATCATAATGACTAAAATAAGGAATAGAGCCGGCGACAAGTGTTGGTGCGGACGGAGAGAAACTGGGTCCCACACACATGGCTGGTGGGAACGGGACAGCTACAGCTACTCTGGAAAAGTTTGGCCGTTTGTTTTTAAAACTCAACATACAACTCTTCTATGACCCAGCAACTGCACTCCTGGCATTTATGCCAAAGAAATGAAAACCTATATTCACCCAAACCTGTACACAAATGGTCATGGCAGCTTTCGCTGTAAGAGCCAAACACTGGAATCAGCCCCGACAGAGAGTCTGTAACAGGTGAAGAGTTAAATGAACAGGCATATGCATGCCACGGACTGCCACTCAGTAACGAAAAGGAATGACTCATTGACCCACACACAGCTGGGTGATGTGTAGGAAATCACGCCGAGTAAGAAAAACCAATCCCGATAGTTGCGTGCTCTATCCTTCCAGTTAGGTGACACTTTGAAGTGACAACATTTTAGAAACGGGAGAGAGTGGTGGGTGCCAGGGGTTAGAGACAGGGAAGGCGGAGAGCTGGGATGGTGGGTGTGGTCATAAGAGGGCAGCACCAGGGACCCCGGTGATGTGTCTTGACTGTGGTTGGGATACACAAACCTACACCGGCAAGAAAAAGCTATAGATCTTCTTACCCACACACAAGCACAAGTCAGGCTGGGGAATCCGGGCGAGACAGGTGAGCGCATGCCTGTCAGTGTTGGCTGTGATATTATTACTAAAGCTTTGCACAGCCTTACCATTGGGGGAAACTGAGCAAAGTGTGGAAGGGCTCTCTACGACTTCTCACAACTGTTTATGTATCTACAATCGTCTCAATACAGACTTGAACTTAAAAACCCTGGGGGCCTGGGAAGACTGTGGTCCTTCCCTCCCCACCCAGCTCGGAGTGTCTGCCCTAGAACTTCACCTACATCTTTGTTCTAAACCATCTAGGGCTCCTTTTCCACCAAGTGGTGAATCCATGGTCTCTGAGCAGGGGGCACAGGGGCTCGGGGGCTCAGGCTGAAGAGGCCTTTGTGGGGGGGTCTCCTGAAAGGGGCCTTTTGCATGTGGGAGGCAAGGGCCCTGCGGAAGCGACCAGTCTGCAGCCACTGGTGCTGAGGGCAGACCCTCTGTGCTGCCTGAGGGTGTTGGACAGGGACCCAAGTTATGGCACCGCCAGCGGCCCGCCCCGCCATGACCCAGGACTAGAATGACATTTCCCAAGAGTCAGGCAGGTGAAGGCTAGAAATCAATCAGCCTGCTTTGGAAGAAAATGGAATTGTTTTGTGTCTTAATGACATGGATAAGATGCCTACATGCCACGTGAGAGGAGAGGAGAGTGGCTGCTACCCGTGGGAAGGTTTTAACTACAGCTGCAGTGAGACAGGTGCAGTGAGACAGCTGCAGTGAGACGGGTGCAGTGAGACGGGTGCAGTGAGACGGGTGCAGTGAGACGGGTGCAGTGAGACGGGTGCAGTGAGACGGGTGCAGTGAGACGGGTGCAGTGAGACGGGTGCAGTGAGACGGGTGCAGTGAGACGGGTGCAGTGAGACGGGTGCAGTGAGACGGGTGCAGTGAGACGGGTGCAGTGAGACGGGTGCAGTGAGACGGGTGCAGTGAGACGGGTGCAGTGAGACGGGTGCAGTGAGACGGGTGCAGTGAGACGGGTGCAGTGAGACGGGTGCAGTGAGACGGGTGCAGTGAGACGGGTGCAGTGAGACGGGTGCAGTGAGACGGGTGCAGTGAGACGGGTGCAGTGAGACGGGTGCAGTGAGACGGGTGCAGTGAGACGGGTGCAGTGAGACGGGTGCAGTGAGACGGGTGCAGTGAGACGGGTGCAGTGAGACGGGTGCAGTGAGACGGGTGCAGTGAGACGGGTGCAGTGAGACGGGTGCAGTGAGACGGGTGCAGTGAGACGGGTGCAGTGAGACGGGTGCAGTGAGACGGGTGCAGTGAGACGGGTGCAGTGAGACGGGTGCAGTGAGACGGGTGCAGTGAGACGGGTGCAGTGAGACGGGTGCAGTGAGACGGGTGCAGTGAGACGGGTGCAGTGAGACGGGTGCAGTGAGACGGGTGCAGTGAGACAGCTGTGGTGAGACAGGTGCAGTGAGCCGCAGACCCCCACCCCCACCCCCGCCCGCTGCCCGCGCCCACCTTGCATCGCTGCAGGAAGACTGTCGGGGGCTGGGGCTTGGCCGCCAGGCGGTACTCGAGGGCGCTCTCATTCTTGAACTGGCCTCGGTAGTGCCCATAGAAGCCATTGTTGTGCTGCAGCGGAGGAGGCGGCGGGCGGGTGAGGCCCACACACCCACCCCACCCGCACCCACTCCCACTCCACCCCCACCCACACCACCCACACCCACTCCCACACCCACACCCACTCCCACTCCGAGCCTCCACCCAGGGCCCCAGAGGCTCAAGGCCGCTCCTGCACCCACACCCACACCCACTCCCACACCCACACCCACTCCCACTCCGAGCCTCCACCCAGGGCCCCAGAGGCTCAAGGCCGCTCCTGGGAGTTTCTGACCGAAAAGAAAGCATCCGAGGTGGGGGCGCCCTGGAGAGGGGCGGCCGGGAGATGGAGCTTGGGCCTGAGGGTCACCGGGGTTCAGCGGGGACCCTGGGAGGGGCCTCGGGGTGGCTGG